ATGCAACATTCAACCAAACACGCAATTTTTGATCTTATAAATAATATAAATCACTCTTTGAAAACAAAATATACGTTCTTGGAGTCTTTGTTGATTTATCTAAGGTGTTTGATTCAGTAGATCACGCTACCTCAATTACTAAAATGAAAAAATATGGGATAAAAGGTGTTGCACTAAACTGTTTCAAAATTTTTTTACTTAACAGAAAACAATGTGTTATTGGTCATGGAAAACAATTTTCAAAATTACTCAAAATAAAATGCGGTGTCCTCCAAGGTTCCATTCTTATACCTCTTTTGTTTTTAATATACATTAACGATCTTCCTAAAGCCTCAATTAAATTAGAATTCATAATATTTGTCTGCAAACATTACTTGAGGCTAAATCTCTAGGGATACTTATTGATGAGAACATCTTATGGAAATCACATATAGATATTAAATACCAAAATATTAAAAAACATCGGGATCCTTTACAAACCTAGTTCTATACTGTCTCCTGATAATTTAAAGTTCCTATACTTCTCGTTCACACAAAGCTAATGTTGCATAGGCTAGTACTCATAAATCCAAACTAACTACACTATATCAAAAACAAAAACATGCTGCAAGATTAGTTTTTAATAAGAATAGACTCTCACATGCTGAGCCACTTTTAAAAAATTTGAAAGCATTAAATGTATATCTTTTTTTTTTTTTTTTTTTTTTTTTTTTTTTTTTTTTTTTTTTTTTTTAGTATTGTATTTGCCGATTGAAAATAATTTACACTCGTAATTTATAAAAAACAAATATTTACATGACTGGGGCTTGAAGAAGACAAAATTCATCTTATCATTAAGCCCCCCCAAAAAAATGCATATTCATCAAATAAAATATTTTAACAAAATGTAAAAAATAAAATATATAACGTTTAAAATATTTAGTAATTCAAAGAGTATTTATATTTAAGAACTGATTAGTAAAATAAGATGATATATAAGTATTAATATTACAAAAAGAATTTACAATAACTTTTTTTAATAAAAATTGAAATTATAAAATTTTACAATATTTTTAGTAATTAGTATTTCAAATAATAAAACTTAAAAAATCGTTTGTAAATTCAAAACTTATAAGATAAGAAATACATTTACAATAGCAGACTATTGTTTAGAATATTAAATATAATATTAAAGAGTAATTAGTAGGTTAATTTTTGTTTTTGTTTGCTAGTTTAAAAAGCTTTTTAGAAGAACTTTAATTCATTTTCATGTATCATCAGTAATTGCTTAAGTTTTGTTTTAAACTGGTTTAAAGAATAATTAGATTTCAGCTCATTATTTAATATTGTATTCCACAGCTTAGGACCTCGATTTGCAATTGAATATTTGGTTGCTGAATAATGTGTTTTGGATTGAATGTAATTGTTTTTTGAAAATCTGGTAGGGTATATGTGGTTTATTTTTTCAAAAAGTGAATTAAATAACATTGGTGATATTTTTTTATCAAGTTTAAACATGAAGATAAGAATATGGTAAAGGTTTAGTTTATATACATTTAGAATATTAAGTTTATTAAATAATGTTTTGGTGTGAGAGAAACGGTCTACGTTTGTAATTATCCTTATAGCCTGTTTTTGTTTACTAAACAGTTTTTTTACTTTTGTTGCGTTTGTGCTGCACCAAGCAACGTTTGCATAATTTAAGTAGCAATGAATTAAAGAAAAATATAAGTTTTTTAAACAAGATAGATTTAAAAACTGCTTGGCTTTATACAAAACACCTATATTTTTTGATATTTTATTTTCAATTAGACCTATGTGGTCCCTCCAGGTCATATCAAATCAATATATTCTAAAATTTGCTGTTTATGCTTAAATATAAACTTTGACTTATTTCTTCTTACTTTTCAAAGAATTTTTTCCAAAATAGCGAAAATGGATACCATTCCAAAGGAACGGGAAACTTCAACGTACCTTTTAAAAAAACTAATCTCTCGCGCTTTGCCATTTCGTACCGTATCGTTTTCTTTATAACAATTAACAAATTAATATCCGAAAATACTCAACTGGAAAAATCGAATAACTTGAATACTCTGAAAACGTAATTAAAGGATCTCATTTTAAACATTAACAACTTTGTAAATTTTTATTAACAAAAAACATTCAAAACTATGTATAAAACAAACTTTGTTCCGAAACAATCTCTAATAACTATAAAAACTCTAACTAACTCAAAAACAACAACAACTAAAGTTAATAATAAATAATAGACTTATTTATCAACACGTGAACGAATATGTATTACCTATTTAGCAAAAATGTGTATTCAATAAAATCAAAAAAATTAAAAACTTCTTTTTGTCTGCATTCTTTGTTTTTTGCATTTTTATTTTTATTCTGTCGAAGCTGATAACATTATTTTTTTATATATAAACTTACTTCAAATTAAAATATTCAAAAATATTAGAAACGCATAGCGGTTTCTTGATGACAAGACCATCGGTCTTCTGCAATTTCTAATACATAACAGTTTTATTTAAATATATTTTTGTATAACGTAACTTTGTGGTTTTTATTTTTATTTTACTATACTCTGTAAACGATTCTATTATATATTACAAATTTGTAAAGATTAAAGAACAAAAAAATTTAATTTATATTATATATATATATATATATATAAAATATAAATTAAATATATATATACATATATTTGTATATATATATATATATATATATATATATATATATATATATATATATATATATATATATATATATATATATATATATATATATATATATATATAAATATATATATATATATATATATATATATATATATATATATAGAATACATTACATGTATATATATATATATATATATATATATATATATATATATATATATATATATATATATATATATATATATATATATATATATATATATATATATATATGTACATATAATGTATTGTGTATAAATGAATGTGTATTTTGTAATGTAAAATTTTTTTGTTGCTAAGTAAAAAAAAAGCTACCGAATTTTAAAAGAAAAACTAGTAATATAATACTTCTGCAGATTTGGTTATGAAAGTTTAACAAAAATTTCTTCGTACATCTTGAGGTTTTAATTGTCATTTGCTAAATTATACATAGTTTTTTGTTATATGCATTTGTTAATTTAAAATATATTTCAAGTAATTTTTAACGGTATTGTAGAAGTCTAATAAAATAACTGGTTTTAATGTAAAAATACGATGTAAGCTATGGGGCTTAGTGATAAGACTACTATTGTCTTTTTTTTGCCCTGGCCCTGTAAATATTTATCTATATATTTTGGTATTGTAGCAATGTTTAGACGGCAAAATATATATAGAAAACTTATACAAAAAACGATATATGTATACGCTCGTAACGGTGCGTGCGTTAAATTAAAATGCATAACACATTTCATGTCATGATAACATTAAATGTGTATAAAAATAATATCAAATTTTTTAACAATTAAAGGATAAATCGTATAAAATATGATATAGTAGGGAAAGTTAGGGCACAGTGAATCGAGGGGCGCAGGGAATAAAAGACATTTTCTCAAACATTAGAATTTTGTACTCGTATGTCAGCCATCTTTATTTGTAATTGTAACCACATAACTTTTAAGTACCTGTTTTTGGTAGGTAATTTTTGTTTTTAGCTAACTAAAGTAAATTTTCTTACTTTCCCTATGTTTGTTATGGAGATCATGGTTGAAATAATTTTAAAAGTTGAAGTTTTTCATTCGGATTATTGATAATTATGCTTTCTTTTAGTAGTTTAGTTTTTCTTTTCAACACCATTCATGTCAAATTAGATTTAAACTTAATTTGTTATGGTGGGGCACAGTGAATCGGGGTACAATGAATAGGTTGATTCACTATTAATGATCTTAAAAATTAAACTCATGCATTTTTAACTAACAAACTAAATGAAAATGAATTTATTAGTTTTAAGTTGTGAATAATAATATTTGAATAACTTTTTAATTTTTTATATGTTTTGTTATCAATAAAATTCTTTTATTTTTTTTTTCAAATTTTCAAAATATCTATTTTTTCGATTATATACTAATTTAATTAATAAAAGTATGCTAAAAGTATAGTGTACAGTGTCTTTACTCCCTCAGCCTCATAGTTATTTGCCTATGCTCCTATTCACTATCATTAATTAACAGCTGTATTTATTAATTCACTGTGCCCCACTACAAGGGCACAGTGTATAACGTAACACAACTCACTTTAAGTCTTTCTGTGTGCCGTTAGATAATAAATATTTGGGTTTTAATGATTTATTATCATGAAGGATATATCTTAAACCTTTCGCCTTGAAAAAAATAAAATACATATTTTAACTTTTGCTCAATTTAAAAAATAAAGAAATCCAATCCACTGTTTCCCAACTTCCCCTATATATTATAGCTTATTTACCATAAACGTAAACTTATTTGTTAAGACTCGTTTTGTCTGGAAACTATTTTTATTTAACTTTAATATTATAGGAAACTCTTCTGATAGCAGTTTTAACAGTTGAGTATAGCAGGGTTAGATTTTGTCGTTAACTGCTTTTCGATGACTAAATTTTTGTCGTTAACCAAACGAAGAACATGAGAATACGAGCTTATTTTAACGCTGGCGTTAAAGACTCCCGTTTTAAAATTAACCAGCCGATAGCTTACTACAGGATTTAATGATGAGAAATAAATTTGGCTGCTGATCCTTCAAATAGAATAGATATAAAGTCTTTGTTTGCTACCTTATCTTTTAATTTTTCAGCAAACCTGATAAATTTAATAAAACGATTAAAAGTTAAATAATAAGTATATTTTTATATCACGTAAGTGTCATAGATTAGAGTCGTAGTCAACAAAAATTTATTTTTCACTGAAACAATTAAAAGTTAATTACCCTACTAATATCTATTCATAAAAGTTGCGTAATAATATTTCTATAAATGAAGTTATTAAATATTTCAAAACAGAATTGTATATTAAAAAATTCTTTTAATGAAGATATTGGAAATACATATAAAAATTGGCCAGTTATTCTTTCGTTTACGTACAAGTTAAAAAACAGTAAGTTTGTATCGATAAATTATATATGTAGGTTTGGATATGAAAATGTCAACTCTAATGAAAAGGTTACATCTTTAAAAAAACTGTATTTTCTTGAAACTTTCTTATTTTAAGATTTCAAGATAATATCTTAAAATAAAAAATAAAAATATCTTATAAAAATAATAATTAGAACCAGTCTTAAAAAAAAATCTGATTTTTATTCTATACTTTGGAGTTTTCTCAACAAAAATATAAAACTGTCACAAAATTGCTTTTTTATAACTTTGACTGATTTTTTTACAGCACTTTATTAATGGTTTTCTCGAAGTTAAAGAAATGCGATCTTATAAATTTACTACATAGATTTTTTCCGATATTGGTTTGGCTTCCTCAATATAACCTGTTTAAATTGCGCGGAGATGTAATCGCCGGGTTAACATGTGGATTTGTTGTCATTCCTCAAAGCATTGCGTTTGCAAATCTTGGAAAACTTCCAGCACAAAATGGATTATACGCATCTTTGACGCCTGGTTTAATTTATGCAGTTTTTGGCACATCAAAAGATGTCAGTGTAGGTACAGCAGTGACTCTAGGGTTATACACATCAAGTTTTAATTCAAGTCACAGCACTATAGGAGCGTCTCTCTTAAGCTTATTAACTGGTTTTCTTTTGGTACTGATGGGCATATTTAAACTAGGTTATATGATCAAATATGTACCTCAACTTGTCATTAGTGCGTTTGTGTCAGCGACAGCCATTACTATTATGGTAACACAACTTTCGAATTTATTTGGTATTAAAAAAACTCCTCAAAACGTGTTTGAAATTCTAAAATTCATCGTTGTGAATATTAAATCTACAAATAAATGGGACATAATCATGGGCGGTTTTTGTTTAGTGTTTTTATTGCTTTTTGTCTGTCTGTCTAGCAGAAAGTTTAACAATGAAAAGCAAAGCAAAGTTAGTATATTTATATCAAAGTTAATCTGGATTTTAAGTGCATCAAGAATGGTTCTAGTGTGTTTCTTAGCAACAATTGTTGTCTACATATTTGACATAAAAGGCTTCAAAGAAAAATTCACTACAGCTGGAATAATTCCAAAAGGTTTGCCTAAATACCAGGTAATAAAATAATATATATTTTTTTAGTTAAACTTTTTTATAAAAAATTTTTTAAATATTTAAAATTGTTTTTTTTTTTTATATAAAATTAATTGTAAAAATACATTTTTTCAATTAACTCATAATTACCCATATTTTGAGCTCACATTTTGAAGGGGGGTGGGGGGAGGTGAGAGGTCAAACTTTAAATGGTCACAATTTATGAACGCTATTAGATTATTGTATGAAACTTGAAACATATTAATGAATATAAATTAAGTTGAAAAAATTATATTTATTTATTATATATTATATACGTGAGAGCAATCTCACGTTTGAGACAGGTGCACCTAAAGTTTTAGGGTTCTTTTGTTCCCAGGCTTCAATCATTGCCAACCAACAACACAATATCGTACAACTAATCAAGCGGGTAAGCTTGACTGTCACACAAGAAAGGGTTTTTTGAGAAATGATTTTACAGTAAAATCTAAATCAAATTTATGGAAATGCTATAATAGTTAGTAATAATAGTAATAGTAATATATTTAAATATATTACTATTACTATTATTACTAACTATTTGTCATGTAATATAAAAGTCTTTATAGATTACATGACAAATAAATAAAAAAACAATCCAATAAGCAGATTAAAAAACAAAAGCATTTTTTTATTTTTTATTTTTTTTATTTTTTTTTATTTTTTTATTTTTTTTATTTTTTTTTTTTTATTTATTTATTTTTTTTTTTTATTTTTTTTTTATTTTTAATTTTTTTTTTTTTTTTTTGCTTTCGTTTAATTACAGTTTACGTTTATAACAAATGTACCTAAAAAGTCAATATTTGTAGCTGCTAAAGCACGAATTAATTAAATCAAACGTGCAGCTCATCTTCAGTAAAAGATGCACTGTTTGCAGCTGTAGGAAAAAAATACTTGTCAATTCTATTTTTGAATGCGTTAATTGATGGAGCCTTTTTGCATGACAACGGTAAATAATTCCAATCATTCACAATACGATTAATTACGAGATACGAGTTAATTAAAATAGTTAAACTACCTTTGCGTAAATTTGATTTAATAAAAAATATAATTTAAATAAAAATTACTAATTAAATTTTTTATAAAAGAACGCAAGTAAGCATGGTCTTAAAAGCTTTTAAGCATGGTCTTAAAAGTGTTCTTATAGTGTAGTCTTTTTATCATTTAAGCATTTAACTATTGTTATCATTTAAGCCCTACGGCACACTATTTGAAATTTTATAATCTTTATGTAAAGTTTTAATTTGTTCAGAGTTTTTTTTTTATATAAACATTATTTTCCTAAAAATAATCTTTAGTACTTTTAAAAAATTCAATAGTATTTAAAAAAACTCAGTTCTGAACAAAATTGCATAATCTTCAGAAATATTACTCAACACATTTAATGCAAGTTTTCATAATTTTAATGTCTATCCATAGGAATCGAAGTATATTTTTTCCGAAAAATATTTATTTTGGAAATAATATATATTTTTAAAATTTGTATATTTGATACAGCATGTTTGAAAACGGAAGTAAATTAGAAAAGATTTTGATATAAAATTTTAATAAAATTGTTTGGTGCAATAAAAAAAAAAGAAAAAAAAAAGTTAGGATATCGAATATAAGGTAATGTTGGGATATCAGGTATGAGGTGATGTTGGCATATCAAGGATGAGGTTTTAAAGTTACAAAGATTAAGATGCAACACTAATATTAAAAAAAAAAATTAACTTAAAAAGTTTAATAATTTGTGGGCTTGCCTTCTCACAAATGGTTAAACCTAATATAAGTTTTATGATTTATTAGCATGCACAGTACTTTACTCGGTGGTCTGGATTCACCGAATATAAAAAACAAAAAATCGCCCCTTCCTCTCCTTACTAGATGGTCTGGATCCACCCCTGGTAATCACAAACAGCAAAATTTATGATCTGCATCATAATTTACCCAAATCTAAAAAAAGTTAGAAGAAATAGTTCTGGATGGTGGTTAAGCTTTTTATACCTTTGCTAATGAATCTGAAAGTTGTGATGCATTGCTTCTGTTGCCTGTTCTGAGTAAAGTCCAAGAGCTTGACAATATCAGTCGATGAAATCTTTTATATTGAAAAATGCTGCATGGACTTTGGGTGAGACCAGTGATTCAAAAGTCCTTAACTTCTCTTGATTTACAAGCTTGAACCAGATTCACACCAGAAAAAGGGATGTTGAAAATAATAAAGTGCTTGAAGCCCGCAAAAAATATTAGCAAGTTTTTGATCACAAGGCAGAACAATACCAATACAATATTTAATTAATCAACATGCGAAATGTCAGTATAATTTTCTTGCAGCTTCTTAAAAATAGCAGTAATGAGTTGTCGTTTGAGACCAGTGTCTTAAAAAACCTTTCTTGTGCAGTTAAGTTTTGCTGGGGAATGCTAGTTTCTTGATTTAATTCAATATTTCCTAGGCTAACTTTCAGGAAACCACCTCCTTCGTCAATTCCAACCTTTACAATGCGATTTTTAAAACCTTATACACATTATTTATACGCTTAGGTTTTAAAATAAACCAAAACAAACTTAGATTTTTGAATCTAACTGGCCATCAAAATTAATTTTCTTTATGTAAGATTTAGGGCATATCGCGACAGTATTTTTTCAAAATTTATTTTTGATGAACATTTTTTTTTTTACAATTATTTCATTATTGTAAAAAAAAATTAATATTTAGAAGTACCAAAATGCATTACGTTATCACAATGTATCAGTAACTTCACGAAAAACAAAATTTTCTTATTATCGATACAACGACAAAAAATTTATTTTGAATTATTGCTGATTCGCTTTATTTATAAAAAGTTTATTTATTTTAATCATTATTTTTTTCAATCATTATCCTATTTTAAAATCTGGTTTTAAAAAAGATATTCGAAATGGTATTTTATCTAAAAACAAAAATAACAAAAATTTTAAATTTAGAATGATTTTTAGATCCCCTACAAAACATTAGAAGTTCAAGTAATGGATTGCGCAAGCGTTGCGCAACGTTTTCACCTACTAACTGTTATTGTTTCTTAGTCGGGTTCACGCTATTTATTTATCACTGAGAAATAATTCTACAAAAGTTTATTAACCTACGACTAATTGTACTCATCCCACAAGAGATTTATTTCAAAACACCACAGATGTTGCATAACATAACTTAGTTTAGTTACTCTTAGGGGTCGTCCATAAAGTACGTACGCTCATAGAGGGGAGGGGAGAGGTCTTCAAAAAGAGGTCTTCGAAATTGTATGGGGAGGGGGAGGGGGAGAGAGGGTTCAATTTAAAAGTACGTACATTGATTTTCTTATTTATCACAATAACTAGCTAATCAATAGAAAAGTTAAAGTTCTGACTAAAGAAAGTTTGCCAACATAAAAAGATGTATGGTACTGGGAGTAGTACAGTTTCCCTCTATGCACACACATGTATGGACGCCCGCAGGATTTTTTGATGTTCCAGATAGGACACTTTTGCATATTGTGAAGACTCCAAACTTTTGGAATTTGCACAATGTGTGAAAGTGTCCTATGTGTGGGATGTCCGCCATCCCAATTTTTTGCAAAAAACTTGGATGGCGAAAGCCTGGAAACAAAAAAGCCCTAAATCGCTTGACCGCCCTGCCTAAACGTGAGGGCACTAATGTAGTAAAATGTTCAACTTTACTATCTAAAACTAAATTTAAATTCATCGACAGATTTTAAAATTCGTAGAAAAATATTGTAAATAACAAAAGTTATGACCATGCAAATTTTCCGACCCCCAAATGAGGGGGGGGGGGGTGTAAATTTTGTATGGTCATAACTTATGTAATTTACAATAATTTTCTACGAAATTTAAAATCTGTCGATAGATTTAAATTTAGTTTTAGATGGTTAAGTTGAAAATTAATCTACATTAGTGCCCTCACGTATAGGAAAGGGGTAGCTTTTTATGTTTTTTTTCAGGAACTCTGGTGCCTGAAAAAAACGTCTGCCTTAAGCTTAAGGCTACAGGCCTGCTTGTAAGCTACAGCTACAAGCCTGCTTATAAGCAGGCTTGTAGCAACCGGGTGGGTAGCAGGGGCATTTGCCCTCCCAATAATTTTTCAAATAAATAATTTTGAAGAAATTGACTGAAAAAGTGACTTTTCAGAAGAAGAAAAAAATCCCTTAAAACTATTTCGAGGTATTCCCCCCCTCCCCCTAATATAATTATTGTTCCTACGGTCATGTTAAGTACCGTAGGAACATTAATTCTTACAATAAAATTGTAAAACAATATAATAATTTGTCCGATAAAATAAATCTTACAAAAAAACCATTAATCGACTTTAACTAAACGTAAACATTTATAGATTTAAAATCTACGCTTTAAACCTTTTAATATATAAGTTTACTAAACGTCGATCAAACGTTTACAATATTGACTAATATAAGTCGTTATTCTAACCATTTGATCGATGTTTAATAAACTTATATTATATTATAATATAGCAGTATAGCCATTGGTCAGAAGACTCGCATAACGGGCAGGAATAATAAAAAAAAGCCATTGCTTTTACTCAATAATTGGTTAGTTTTATGCGAATCTTCAGCAGTTTTTTATTCACGTAAATTAAGCAATTTACTAAGTATTTGCTCAGCTTCACGTGAATAAAAACTTAACTAAAATTTCTGAAACTTTTATTTACGTAAAGCTGACCAAGTACTGAGTAAAAGCAATTATATTTATTCACGGTTAAGTCACGCGGTTTAAATAGGCATAATTAAAACGAAATTTAACATAATTAATAAAATTTACTGTTGAAAAATTATTTTTCATTGGCTAAATAATTAAATTAGACTTAAATGCGTTTTCAAGATTCACTTCCTTACAACAACTGAAAGCAAAACGACTGATAAATAAATAATAAACGAGTTTTGGGTGCGCCATTTTAATTCATGGAAGATAAAAAGCTTTTTTCGCAAAAATCTACCTTCCTAAATGCCAACAAA